ATGGTGAGAGTGAAGGACAGGGTGGCAGGGGTGACAGGTGGGGTGGCAGGGTGACAAGTGGTGAGGCAGGGTGATGGGGGTGACAGGGTGAGGGGTGGCAGGGTGAGTGGGGTGAGTAAGGGGCTGACATAGTGGGGACACAGGGTGGGTGACAGAGTTAGAGGTGTGGGGTGACAGGATTAGGGGGTGACATGGTGAGAGGGGGTGACAGGTGGGGCATGTGAGGGGGCAGGCAGGGAAGGAGGAGACAGGTGGGGTGACAGGCGAGGGGGGGGGCACAGGTAGGGTGGCAGGAAGGGAGGAGGCGGTGGGTGGACAGGGTGAGGGGGTGACAGGTAGGTGTGGCAGGGGAAGGAGGAGACAGGGGTGACAGGTGAGAGGTGACAGTAGGGAGGTGACAGGTGGGGGTGAAAGGGTGAGGGGTGACAGGTGGCAGGGTGACAGGGGTGACAGGTGGGGTGACAGGGTGACAGGTGTGGGGTGGCAGGGGACAGGGTGACAGGTGGGGTGTCAGGGTGTCAGGTGGGTGGCGGGTGACAGGGTGGTGACAGGTGGGGTGCGAAGGGTGACAGGGTATGCAAGGACAGGGTGGCAGGGGTGGGGAGGGGGGTGGCAGGGGTGACAGGATGGGGTGGCGTAGCACAGGTGGCAGGGGTGAGGGGAGGGCAGGCGAGGCCAGATGGGGTGGCAGGGTGATCTGATGGGGTGACAGGTGGGGTGGCAGGGGTACAGATGGGGCATGTGCGGGTGGTAGGTGACAGGTGGGGTGACAGGGTGGGTTGACAGGTGGGGTGGCAGGGTGACAGATGGGTTGACAGGTGGGGTGGCAGGGTGACAGACGGGATGGCAGGGTGACAGGTGGGGTGGCAGGGTGACAGATGGGGTGTCAGGGTGAGAGGGGTGGCAGGGTGAAGGGGTGGCAGGGTGACAGATGGGGTGGCAGGGTGAGGGGGGTGGCAGGGTGAGGGTGGTGGCAGGGTGACAGGGTGAGGGGGGTGACCGGTGGGGTGGCAGAGTAAGGGGCTGACAGGGTGACAGGTGGAGTGACAGGTACCTTTTCCCCTGGTGGTCCAGTGGTGGCACTCATCTCCGTGGTGGTCCAGTGGTGGCACTCAGACTCCGTGGTGGTCCAGTGGTGGCACTCAGACTCCCTGGTGGTCCAGTGGTGGCACTCAGACTCCCTGGTGGTCCAGTGGGCTCTCCAGTCTGCAGCTCTGCCGGATGCAGAGCTGCAGACCACATGGTGAATGTCTCGCGATCTCCAGTCAGAGCGTTGCCGTGGTAACCCGCGGCAACGCTCTGATTGGCTGGAGAGCGCAAGACACTTCAGTCTGCAGCTCACACCCGGCGGAGCTGCAGACTGAAGGCAGGCTCTCCTGGGCGGACTGACAGGAGGGGCATCGCACCCGGCGGCATACAGGGCAAGCTGTCGGGTCCCCTCCTGTGTCAGGTCCTCGAGCACCCGACATGTCACTCTGCCCTATGGTGGTTTAGGCGGCCGCAAGGCCCCACACAGCGCGAGGCCTTAGGCGGCCGCCTAAGCCACCTAATTAGAGAGCCGCTTCTGCTAATGTGTAAGAATGTGTACACAATAAACCCACAGCTCTGACTGTTCACTGCTTGACCCTCAACACAGAGCTTTGTCTCGTTCTTGGGGGGATTTATTGTATGCTGTTCCAGTTTGACTGCTAGGAGTGTAAACCTATTTGTATGGTTTTTCCTATTCGGCTGTTTACGGCATTCACATGGTTTCCTGTTCGGCGGATTGGTGTTCTGCAGTAGCTGTGACTGTCTCTGTAAGGGAAGATCTACTAAACGGCGGTTTAACCCTTTTATGCCTTGGGGTGCCGTTACACCATCATCCATCCATTCCCATCATCCATATCCATCCCCAAATCCATCCACTCCCATCATCCATATCCATACCCAAATCCATCCACTCCCATCATCCATATCCATAACCAAATCCATCCACTCCCATCATCCATATCCATCCACTCCCATCATCCATATCCATCTATCCCCATCATCCATCCTCACCCACTCACCCTCAGTCACCCACCCACACTCACTAAATAAGTTTACTTACAGTTTGAATCCTCCTCATCGGTCTTCAGCCTGTCAGCTCAAGCCACTCCCACACAGTGCTGACAGCCTCAGCACACAAAGCGTGTTCACAGTGCTTTGTGTGCTGATAGCACGTCTGACGTATTCACCCATGCGTGAATACGTCAGACGTGAATGAAGCCTTTTTAGGGCTTCTGAACTCGGAAGTCCCTCTGGTGGCCGTCTGACTGCAACGGGAGGTGTTCCAAGCTTCCAATGTAAACAAGAAAAAGGCTGCAGGGATCTGTAGAACTCACCTGAACAACCTCATTAAGCTGATGTTGTTCAGGTGACTATAGTGTCCCCTGAAGGAAAGGGACCTCAGTTAGGAAAAAGGACACATTTGTAATTTGTCGCATGTAAGTTGACAGAGGAAGATATTCTATTTCAACTGTCAAAAGTAAAGACAAATAAGTCAATGATGCGTGATGGAATACACCCAAAGTTATTAAAAGAGCTTAGTGCTGTACTAGCAAAACCATTATCAAATGTATTTAACCAATAATTGTTAAAAGGAGTAGTCCCAGAAGATTGGAAGTTAGCGAATGTTGTGCCCATTCACAAGAAAGGTAGTAAGTAGGGAGGAGTCGGGAAACTATAGGTCAGTAAGCCTAACTTCAGTAGTGGGGGAAGTAATGGAAATCATGTTAAAAGGTTAGGACTGTTGAACATCTAAAATCACATGGATTTCAAAATCAGAGACAACATGGGTTTACTTCAGGGAGATCATGCCAAACTAATCTTATTGATTGGGTAACTAAAATAATAGATCAGGGTGCAGTAGACATTGCATACCTAGATTTCAGTAAGGCCTTTGACACTGTAGCACATTGAAGGCTTATCAATAAACTGCAATCTTTAGGTCTGGATTCCAATATTGTTGAATGGGTAAGGCAGTGGCTGAGTGACAGTATTGGGTTGTAGTCAATGGAGTATATTCGAAGCATGGTCTTATCCCAGTTCTCAGGGATCTGTACTTGGACCCATTCTCTTTAATATTTTTATTAGTGATATTGCAGAAGGTCTTGATGGTAAGGTATGTATTTTTGCTGATGATACTAAGATATGTAACAGGGTTGATGTTCCAGGAGAGATAAGCCAAATGGCAAATGATTTGGGTAAACTAGAAAAGTGGTCAGAGTTGTGGCAGCTGACATTTAAAGAGAATAAGTGCAAGATAATGCAATGGTAAGAGAAATAGAACCAGAATATTCATCTCTGTTAATAAATGACTTGTGCATGCATTACTACACACTATATATACAGTAACATACACAGACACACACTTACAGTATACAGACACTGACACACACTCACAAAACAGTATGCACACACAGTTATGCACATCTAGAAACCTACTGCTATACATACTCTACTATACACACACTCATTCAGACAGTATATATACACACTGGCTTACATACACAATACTATACACACATTCAAACAAAGTACACACATTGTAAGTAGTTTATTAGTGATTTAGGGAATTTTATCCTTCTAAATATTCTCATTCTCTTATGTACGTTGTGTCCTGTGATGTCACACACATATAATTAATTATGCAAATTAGCATGGCCAGTATTTTTTTTCCAAAAAAGGTGGCAACCCTAAGAGTGTGTGTGAATAGGTAGCATAGTGTGTATAGGGAATGTAGCAAGTGTGTGCGTAAGGGCTGTAGTGCATGTTTGCATTCATGGGATCTAGTGTGTGTATAGGGGATCCAAAGTGTGTATGTAAGGAATGTAGTGTGTGTAGGTGTTGGCGTGAGTGCCTAGAGGGATATAGTGTGCGTATATAGGATCTAGTTTGTGTATATATCTAGTGTGTGGGTGTAGAGGAACCAGAGTGTGTGTAGGGAATCAAGAGAGTGTACAAGGGATGTAGTGTGTGTGTGAGTGGTGCAGAGTGTGTATAAGGGATGTAGTGTCTGTAGAGTGTGAAGGAATGCATTATGTCAGGGTTTCAGTGTGTGTGAGGGTTGCAGTGTGTTTGAGGGGAACAGTATGTGAGGGGTGCAGTGTATAGGTACAATGTATGTGTGAGGAATGCACTGTGTGTGGGCGTTGCAGTGTAATTGTTTACTGTGTGTTTGTGTGTGTGTGAAGGGTGCAGTGTAGAATTATATTGGGAGGCTTAGGCATATATTATGTGTGGGTGGGATTGGGCAGATGGGAGCAAATATATATATGCACAAACTTTATATACGCCCTCCCTACTGACATTTGGCCCCGAAGGAAGGACATTGTACACCCTGGTAGTCTGGTGGTACTGAGTGAAATCTAGCTACAGTTAATTCGCACCCCTACACACTAGATCCTTTATAGACACTACATCTCTTATAAATACTCTGCACCACTTACACACACTGCATCCATTGTACACTCTCTGGATTCCCTATACAAGATCTGGCCTGTTGGAGAATTGCCATGGAAACCACAGCAACTCTCCTAACTTGCAAGAGGAACATTCTGAACCCAGAAGAGCTGCACGTCTTCCATCCCTCTCCTCCCTGCATTGAAGTGCCTGTGCACCAGTGAGGGAGATCTTTGATATCCCCACTGACCCATGATGGCACAGAGTAAAGCCAGTTCTTTGATTGCGCCTGCACTGCATGGTCTGATAGAGGAGATCCTCTGATCTCCCCTGTCGGTCCTGGCCCATGGCCATTGTGGCCCACTGGGCATTTGACCTATGGTCAGTATGGGCCTAAATAGAAGTATCTTCTGTGAAACTTTGTTTTATTGCTTATCTGGTTTTAAGATTGTCTGTGCTTCACTGTTACAGGCAGAATCAACAACTGATCTCTCTAGGATGGGATTTTACAAACTAGTTAGTAATTACTGTGTGTCATGCATAATAAATGTAAAGGTTTCATCTTCTGAAAGGTAATACAGGAGCAAAAAGTGTTGTGTTGGGGCGGGGTTGGGGTCTATAACCTACCTTTTTACCAATTTGTATTTGTGCAAAGGAGAAAGAAGGAGACAGACAGGGCTAAAAAAGTACTATCTGCAAACAATTGGAAAATATGTTCTTTTTCCTTAGAGAGACTCAGCGCTGTCTCAGTGAAACCACTGATACTGGCCCTGCAAGGGAGACTTCAAAATCTTTTCGAAAGAAATTAATGAAAGCAAGATCTCGGGTCAGATTTACAAAGGAGGAGGAAGACTGTAAGACAGAGCATATGGAAGTATCTTCAGTGAAAGAAAAAAGGAGACCTATTGTTGAAACACCTGTGCTTTGTTCGCTAAGAGAACGCCTAAAGAGAAGCACTGGCTTAAAGGTGAGGTGAGAGACTCAGAACTACACTCAACTTGTGTTGCTCCTAGACCGTGAAAGTTAGTCTTATTCTTTGTGTACCAAAATTTTATCAGTTTTCTTTTTCAAAGCATTCACTATTTAACATGTACCTAATTAGTAAACACTGGCACTGAGCAAAACATTACTCCTTTATACATTTGCTTTTAAAACCTCACCTCTCTTCTCCAATGTAATAGCTGGATGTACTTTTTTACTTTGCATTTAAATTAAGCTGACTGAATACATATTAACTAAACCCCACATTTCTAAAGTTTAAATAGATTATTGTGTTAATCATTTATCCAGGAATTTATATTTGTACTGACTGACAAAGTGCTTTGCTTGTGCTTTTATGAATAAAGTTTAATTAGAAGCCAAAACATTCCTTATTAAATCTCCTTACCTTATGCTGAAACTGGCACTGGTAGATAAGTACCTCATAAAAAATATTTGTCTCTCTGAAATGCCTGTTGCTTCCTGTACCAAAGACTATAAACTGCCATAATGATGGTCCTTTCAAATACTTAGTATATAGAATAAACCTCCCGAGGCTTGGAGTAATTGAAAAGCAGAAGGTTGTTGCTATTTTTTTACTGTGTATTCAGATTTGGACAAATCAAAATACTTGTGAATTTTAGATCATACATTCATTCAGCCAAAACAAAGAATGTTTAGCAGAGATTATTACAATTATTAATTATTTGTCTATTTAACTACAAGAAGAGAGTTCTGCGTTACCTCTTTTAGTTAAATATTGGAGTGAGAATGTACATGGAATGCCTATTCACACTCTTCCACCATGTCTTATAATATATAAGATAGAAATAAATATAAAAAATGTTCAGGAGGGACCCTAATAATGGGCAATGTGAATAACTTGTAACAAATAGATACTGTATAATATCCCAAAAAAAGGCCAGAGATGGTAATGCTAAACACCCAAAAGTGTACCTCACATACACCAAATAACAATATAATACAAATAGGAAAAGTATACCACATCAAAAAACAGTGATAGTATAAATTAAAGGGGTAGCACACCAAAAATACAAAACATACAACCTGTATGTAATACAGAGCAGTTCTTGTGAAATCTAAAAATTTGAAAAAAATTGTACAATAGTGAAGTATGTAAAGAACACCAAGCTCAATCCCGGAGGTAGAGAACTTACAGACAGTATAGATGATCTGCGCTTATCTCCCTCTTTATTATGGGGTATCTCAGGGCAGCACTGTAATCCTTGTCGTAGAGGATTTGGATGTCGATCAAAATATATATAATGAAACTCCCATCCTCAAAGAAAGAATATGTATATAGAGTAGTATTGTAAACAGCAATATATTTATTGATACTGATTGCACTTACATAAAAATTGTTTTAGGTCAGCATATCTCCATCCAACAGATGGTACCAAACCATAGAAGGTCCAACTCGAACACTAAAAAAGGTATAGCAGCAAAAGTATAAATAAAACAACAATAAAAATACAAATAATGAAACCTAGGATAAAAATGTCCCAGATAAAAATCCAACGCGTTTCGTCTTTAAGACTTCCTCAGGGATATAAAGCAGAACTTCGAAAGAGCTTCTTTTTATATGTTCCAGACAATTTGTTGAAAATTGGCGCCAGTAGATCAGTACTTCCGCGTTTCGTCTGAACTTCCATCCGATTGGACGAACGTGATGACGATCACGTTCATGTTTGCGGGCATTAAGTATTTCCGCGTTCAACCATGGAACGCATATCATCAAAGGCTCTGGATGAGTCTATTCCGCGTTCCAGCATGGAGCACACTGCAACTACAGGAAAAAAACAACCAGAAAAGAAAAAACGAAGGGAAAACCCTTCTCATACATAAAAAATAGGCTGTAATAAAAAATGTATATATAATGAGTGAATGCAGAAACCATATCATTTCCATATAAAAATGACCTTGTCTAATACACAGATATTGATATATCCAAAACTGTTTTCAGTATATAATGCATAAATATTACTTATACATATACAGAAAAATATATATATATACATGATCAAGTGAAAAAGAAATGAGAGGGGGAAGAAAGCAAAAACAATAACAACTAACAGAAAATCAGAGAAGTCCTATTAAATCAATTTCCTGATTAAGACCTGTCTTTAAAGTTTTAAGAGTATAAATCCAAAAGGCTTCTTTTTTAGCTAAATCATTAATTCTACGGAATCTGTTGGTGCTATATAAATGGCAATAATAATAATAATAATAATACTTCCCCCTCTCCAATTCATAGCAACCTGATCAATACCAATGGCAATAAAAGAGGACCAATTAAACATACTACAAGTCTCACAATGATTGGGAACACTATGATCTACTTTATTTGTCCTAATATTGTTGAAATGTTCTCGGAGTCTGATATGTAGTTTTCTAGTGGTTTGTCCCACATACTGGGCACCACATCCACACTGTAACAGATTACAAATGTTGACGTCCAGTGTATAAACTTCTTAATATTATATGTTTCTTTAGTATTAGACCCCATGAAAGACACCGTTTTTCTTTTTTGGTGAGTACAAGTAGAGCAAGCCCCACATTTATGAAAACCCGGGGTTCTTTTTAGCTGTAAAAAATTCTTTTGTGGACTCTTAAGTTGTTTTGGTAAAAGACTCGGTGACAATTGGTTTTTTAAATTGTCTGCTTTTCTGTATATAACCACCGGTTTTTCAGGTAACCTTTCTCCCAAAATCTCATCTTTTTTCAGAATTGCCCAATGTTTTTTTTTATAATTTTTTCGATTTTTTTTTTTTTTCCTGAAAACTATATTTAGTAATAAAAGCAAAATCTGTGTCTATTACTATCTTTATTTTTACATCTATTGTCTTTATTTATTAGAAATTCTGAACAGTTCTTATTTTTATTTTTTGAAATATCACTTTTAATTTTTTCTACAATATAACCCTTTTCTATATATCTATTTTTTATATTTTTTTATTGTTCTTCAAACATCTGTGTGCTAGAACAATTTCTCCTCATTCGGGTTATTTGTCCCTTAGGGACATTGTTCAGCCATGTAGGATAATGTAAACTGGTCTTTTTTATGGCCGTGTTACAATCTGTTTTTTTGAAAAAGGTCTTAGTATTCAGAATCTCGTTTTCTACATATAAGGTTATATCCAAAAAGTCTATGGTAGTCGGATGAATATTAGAAGTGAAATGCAAACTATTGTACAAATTTTTCAAATTTTTAGATTTCACAAGAACTGCTCTGTATTACATACAGGTTGTATGTTTTGTATTTTTGGTGTGCTACTCCTTTAATTTATACTATCACTGTTTTTTGGTGTGGTATATTTTTCCTATTTGTATTATAATGTGAATAACTTGCATTGCAGAAGCTCCTATTCTCAATCAGCAGTAATGCATGGAATTTTAAATTGCATACATCCCAAGAGATGAGCAAGTGACTGGCTGGAACAAACAAGCCAATCATATTTACCTTATATCAAAGCAAGGCATAGGTAGAAAGACCATTTTTGTCTCAGTCACTGGGCTGAAAGGTAGTTGTTGTGAGTATGGATGGTACATTTTTTTGTAGGTGCAAAAGAATTGTTTTCCACAGTTACTAGATGAGAACACAAGGATATTGGTTGAAAATGCTGGATTTGGTTAATGATATACCGGAGTGGCAAAGACAGATGCCCAATTACTGCTGAATTTAAACTACCGCAAAACTTAATGTTTGCCCACTCCTGAAGGGATATTTGGAGGAATCCCCCAAGCATGACCTACATTTAGGTCCATAGAGGAAGCAGATGGCATATCTGCAGCCCTCCCATTCCTTTATATTAACCCACTATCTTCAAGGCCAGAGAATGGGGTAGTCTGCAGGAAGTGACCGAGAAATCAGTCACTTTACATCCAGTATGCATCAATCATTATGTTACAATCTACCAATGTTAATCTTGTCCCTGGGACTTCATTAAAATCTTTGAATAATCTAGTATATAATGTTTTATAAACACAATTCTGCTTTCCTTTTCTTGGATTACTAAATAATTACAGTTATACTAGAATATGTAAGCACTGATATGGTGACGGGACACCCAGCCACTTAAGCCCATACCAGAATCAACCCCACATCTCACTCTAAAAGGGGGCATAACCACTGTGATCCATATAGCCCATATTCCCTTCCAGAGACCTTTGCCTAAACCTCTGGCTCGCATGACCATCACCTCTAAGCCCATTCACCAGGAGCTCCCCTTCTCTTGATCATCCAGGGAGTCCAGAGAGCCATGAGAAATATAGTGGAATTTACCTACAACTTTTCTAGAACTCCGACCCAGCCACAGCTAACCCCCTCTTCCGGACAACTTTTACCTCTGTTTTCCCCCCACTTCCCAACCAGCATGGAGAGCACTCTTTAAAGTGAATAGATGATAGACTTGCTCCTGGAGAGCCAGATGGAGTGCCCCTTTTTCAGTCCACAGGAGCTCCCAATATTTGACTGGCCAAAACCCCATTCATCCTGGAACTCTTTTGGGCAGAGACATTGCTAGCAGACAGTTAAATCTTTACCCCGGTGGTGATTCTCCAATTTTGTATGCAAGAAAGAAAGATGGAGGATGCAACACAGAACAGAAAGGGATAGAGTATTAAACATTTATTGGGTCAGAGAAAAAGTCCAACTGTTTTTTATCTGACCCATTAAATGTTAAGTTTTATATAGGATTTAGGATCTTGTACTGTTTAGTACTCTACAACTAGGGCACTCAGATCAGAGCTATCTGGGTGTAGCGGAGAGGCAGTATAATCCACAATATCTCCGCTGGGTAACAGGAATAACATAGGATAATCCAGGGGAATAAGCACAGCATACAATAATCCTGGTAGCGTTGTAGTAATCCTTACTTCCCAAGAACTAGACGACACATAGGCTGGGAGTCAACTGAGGTTTTATTCACAGGACACTGTATTTATGGGATTAACCATGCAAGGGGTTTCCCTACTGAC